AATAAACAAATAAATAAATAAAAAATTGCAAAGTATCTTATAGAACGATGATAAATTAATACTATTGATCTACAAACTCATGGTATTTAAATAGTATAATATATAAAAAAAAAAAATACCTTAAGCTTTAAATTTTATATCAGATGTATTTATGTTAACCACATTCATAGCTAACTTTACATGTTATATCAATTGGAAAAGGCCATATGAAAAATGGAAGACCTCAAACTATCCAACATAAGCACAACTTATAGAAACACTTTGTTATATATGTTACCTTACTAGATTTTCTTAAATATGAAAAATTATATCTGCAAATTGAAACTTATTTTTGTAGTTTTTTCCCATGATTGATTCAGCTGTAAAGTTAAAGAAAATATATAAAAGATTACATGGAATTTAGACTAGCATTATTCTAAATCATGTCATCGTTTTTTGTTTGCGCGAAGAGAAATGTTATAGGTACATAAATGTGTACATAGTGGTGTACATAATATTCACATTGAGTGAGACCCACCAAAAATAAAAAAAATAAGTGGACCCCACTCTATATGAGTGTTATGTACACCTCTATGTACATTTATTATGTACTTGTAGCATTTTTCTTGCAGGAAATGCTACGTTCCCGTTACAAAATTATTCCGTCAGAGTTCGTAACGTTGGATCATCATGTAACCGTATGAGATAATTGATCTAACTGTTACGAACCCCGACTAAATGATTCCGTAACGGGACCGTAGCATCTCCTTTTTTTGCATGCTTTTTCCATAAATTTCAACTATAAAAAGTAATTAAGGTATTTTGAAATCTGATGACCAAAATTAAAAGGTATGTCTAACAATCAATTAAACAATTGTATTTTTTGAATAAATATTCGTGTTGTCAGTATTAAATATCACACTCTAAATTGTAACATAAAAAAAAAAAAAAATGCAAGTCTCATGTTAAGTGACCTAAACAACAATGTAAATTAACGGAAATGCTACGGTCCCGTTACAGAACTATTTCATCAAAATTTATAACCGTTAGATCAACTATTCCCGATGGTTATATAATAATCTAACTATTACAAACTCGATAAAATAGTCGCGTACGTGGCATTTTTCGTAAATAAAATCATTCACATTTGATGAAAGGTATGCATTTTATGCTTATTACAATTTCGTGACACGTCATCACAATCACAGGCCACCAACGGTCACCGTATTTGGGACTCTGGAAAATATTTAAAACCGTTTTTGGGTTCTCATTTTCCTCTGCAACATTTTTCTATTCCCATTTTTCTGCTCTCTCAACTTCTCAACACAAGCTTCGCTGCATTTGGTTCAGTTTCCCTAAAACCGGCCAAAATGCCCGTGCCCGCCGCTTCAGAAACCCGGTCCATCCTAGCTCCAACCGGGAACCGGGTTCGGATCCACGAAGAACAGAGGCGGAAGAAAGAGGCGGCGACGGCGAAGCATAAGAAACCCATCCCGCCGCCGCCGGCGAAGCCGGACAAGTCGGAGGCGGCGGCTGCCGTCGTGCGGTGCGGCGTTTCGGCTGATAGGTCTTCAGACTCTTCTTCGTCCTCGTCCTCGTCCTCCTCGTCGTCCGGTGGCTCAAATGTAAAATCTGCTAAAAGTAAGGGCGCGAGGGTAATTAGTGATAAAATCGGCGTTGTTAAAGCTTCGAAAAATGTGGCTCGTCGAGCTGAGCCTGTGACGCAGAATCCTCATGTTACACTTCCTGTTAAACGCTGCGATTGGATTACCTCTAATTCTGGTAAAATTCTTTTTACATTTTTTTTTTAAATTCAAAATTTAAATGGGTTGTGATTTAGGCACTGATTAGGGTTAACTCTAGGTGTTAAATTGAATGGGATTTTGGCAAAAGATCGGATCTTTATAGTGCTGTGTTTTCTTTACTGTATTGATTGATACCAAAATTATGCTGATTTTCTTTGCCTTCAAGGGTATTGCTAAGTCAATGCTGAGAGTATCATGAGTGAAATTCTTGGGGCTTTAATTTGAATATGAAGGCATAATTGGTATCTATCACACAGTGTGGTATGAAAGTATGAGCTTTTGTGATTTGAATTGAGCAAAAGTTGCATATGAATTCGGGCTGGTTCTTTAATTGTATAGCTTTTTGGTAACAAGGAGAGCTAATGGCGCCCAAGTTGATAGACTTTTAGAGACACCGAAAATCGAATTCTAATGATTGAGAGTAACTTTATAGGATTCCTCCATTTGGAGTTATGAATCTCAACTCCCTAACAGTGAACCCCATTGAGGCGATGTGTGTAATAGTCAATCAAACTGAATTTCAAGTTTCTGTTAGCTATAACTCGAATCATATGGGGGGATTAAAGAAAATACAGATCATCTTGGATTGATTTATCGGAAATCCATCTCACAAATCCTCTGTTTCAAATGGCAAAAGCTAATGAAAATCCTTCAATACAAATGTAACCTTTGAAATGCTCACAAATGTAAACCATGTAGTAAAACTAAAAACAAACACGGAGGCGTGTTCTGGTGCAGACTTATTAATTGAAATGTCTCTGTGCTGATAACTTCAAAAACCCATTACTCTTAACTCATGTTAAGCTCTAACTCTGCAGAATCAGTTTATACTTCTTTCCATGATGAGGAATGGGGTGTCCCAGTTCATGATGATGTCAAGTTGTTTGAGCTGTTGGTTTTATCACAAGCACTTGCCGAACTCTCATGGCCGGTGATTCTTAGCAAGAGGACAACATTTAGGTTCCGAGATTCTATTCATTAGTATCATCATCTTTTCTTTCTTTTCTTCTTCACCTTTTTTT